CCACCAAACCGCCCACCTAACCACCCAACCAACCAAGCAACCAGCCACACAACCACCCATCCATCCGCTCAACCACCCAACCAACCACCTAACCCAAACGCCCAACCACCCAACCACCCAACCACCCAACTAACCAACCGAACGTACTACTGATCGTAATTATTATTATTATGTTTTGTTTTTTGCAGCCGCGAGACTCGACTCATTGTGTCCGTCGCTTATCGTACGCATTGTGATGCTGTCATCTTTCGCAGTGTCGTCGTCCAGCCATTGAGACTGTTCATAATTGTCAGGTTCACTTATTCAACCTTGCGACACAACATGGCCGACGTAGTTGTTGTTGTGAAAAAGGTTGTGGATGGAAAGGAAATCGTCGTGAGAGAGACAGTGTGTGAGCGCGATACTTAAAACGAAAGAGACTTTGAATACTGGGAAGGGGTTGTCGCCACGAAAACACGTGTGTACTACGCGTTCATCGATGACACCCTCGCTTTGAGGGTCGTGGCGGGGCTGGGGTACGACGATCTTGATTGCCTTGATGAGGTTGTAATGCATGCAAAAAAACTTTCGGATGTTGTTCCCGACGCCTGTGAACCCCCCCGACTTCGATATAATTGGTCATTTGCTAAGGTGCATCGTGTCAGTCGTTGCGGTCGAGCATGTGGAAAGGTTAGCACGCAACGCATGGTATTTCTCCAAACTCGACCGGCCGCTGCAACGCCGTAGCTTTCTCCACGGAGATGTGCGCAGTGCGATGCCAAAGAACGGTTGCAGACAACAGTGCGAAAGTGCCAACGAACCATCATCCCGCTCGTCTCATGCGTAGTCTGAAACAGGTGGGTTGACGAACAAAATCGTAAAGGTTTTCAAAATTCGACAGCGTTCAAGATCACGACTACCCACTCATCCCATATATATGTATACAGGGCGATCCCCCTCCCCGTACGGTACATGCAGAATATCATGTTCGCGTTATTCGTTACTCGATCGTTGGRTTYATAACTTACGGTCTTGGTTTCTGTGAATTGCAGCACTTTTCAAACGCCGTACGTAAGAAGCGACGATGCATTGCGCGCCAATGATTTTCCGATGTTACCACACCACAAAACTGACAGGCGGCGACACCGTATACTATTACGAATCAATGACTCTCGTAACGGATCCTGTCGACGATGCAGTGGGATACCACAATGGAGACAAGAAGGTGGTTCGTCATTTCGTTGTCAGCGTCGAGGAGGAATGAGTCGTTAGGCTCACTATAGAGACTTATATTCGTGACCACGCTATCAAACACGTTCGTGTCCTAATGTCTAAGCTGACCACGTACTTCAGCACCTTTGTTCTCAAACCGGTCGACGATGATTTCATGTATGATATCGTCTTTCCCCTTGTGCATCGCATGTTATACACACACTACGGGACGGTTGTTCGGGACGGCGTCTGGCGCCTGGTCGTGTCACCGCCCTATTTTGTCTCCTATGGCGAGGATTTCTCTGCCATGTTTTATCCTTGCAGTACGATCCAGCGATGAGTACCATTCGTTTTTTTTTTTTCCCTATGTTTCTTCGTTGTTGGAGAGAGACAAAATGATGGTTTCAAATATTGAACATTTTGTGTATACATATGCAATCGTCATCTCCCATGTGTTTGTTATATGTTTTGAGTTTTTTTTATTCGCCTGCTTTGCGTTGGGAAATTTGTTTTCGTTTTCGTTATGTGGAGGTTCAGTACTAAGGTCATCGGTGCCCGTGATGTTGTGTGTTGTAGATTTCTAAAAATTAACATATAAGCAAGAGAACAATATTCACCCATTCCCATACATAGACCCCCGACGACGCAGGGCTGGCGTGCGGGCCGACGTAGTCGTGTTTGGAAATGGGACAGATACAGATCCTTTCCGCGACGAGGAGTTTACAGTCGCCGAGATTAGGAGTCGGTGGCCGGGACCCGCAGCGCTTTTGGAGGAGGCTGTTACTTTTGTTGGGCTGGACGAGCATCTGCAACAGTGTATGAATCTGCTTATTGGTCGTGCAAATCCTGAACCAAAGCAGAATCGTTACAATGGATATGTCGCTTTTTTTCGGCTGTGCGGGTTCGTCGTTTTCCGATAGAGATTGCCACATGAGTTCCAAACGGCAATGCGGGAACGATGGTCAGATACAATCATTCGAGGTTTTGAACTACGACAATGTGATCCTCCTGAAAACGCGCGCCCACGTCGACGTGCACGGCGGTAAATGCTTCACGACAGGGGAGATAGATAGATAGATAGATAGATAGATA